CTTGCGGGTCACAAATGGCTCGCGGGCCGCGAGTTTGAGACCCCTATATTAGATGTTTATTTATTAATATTCACGATTATCTCATTTTTTATAAAAAGAATGTAAATATTTATACTTTCCCACATCATTTTCGATGTATGCAGAATGTATGCGGCAACGAATTTCAAAATATCTTAATATTTCATTTTCGGTTTCGGCTTCGGCCGAAATTCATTTTTAACTTTCGGCCTTTTTTCGGTTTCGGCCGAAAGTCATTTTTAAACTTTCGGCATTTTTTCGGTTTCGGCCTAAAGTCATTTTAATCTTTTGGCTTATTTTCGGCTTCGGCCGAAATCAGAAAATCACTTTCGGTCGGTCTCTAACGTAAAGCGTTTGGGCGGCCCGTCTACTGGGGAAGCGCATCCACAAAAACTGACCAATGTCCTGGGCATGGGGAGTCCAAAGCATCGTTAGGATTTTGGCACAAATTGCTCAACTTTTTTGTTCAGAATCCAAGTTGTTTGAGTTCTGGGGTGTTCAGATTTCTAGGTATCATTGTACTTTAAACAGTTCTACCATATCAGGCACACAAAAGTAGTAAATTTATAAAAAGTTTTTAACAAAAACTACATACTAAATAGAAAGATGTATTTGGCAAGGTAGAATAAAAGTAATCATTAAAATACATTTTTTCACAAATAATGGCATTAAGCATGACATCTTTCTATTAATCAAAGTGGCATTTTTACAAAAATATATAATGCAAGATAAACTGATATACCCCATCTTTATCATGTTTACATTTTGATTAGTTCGTTCCTAGAACTAGAATAACCGATTAGTTAATGCTGTGTCACGACAAAGCTTGGTTGAACACAGACCTGTAGCGATGGATTGTGTTCACTAAGTTCAATAGTTGTTTCATTCGTGCTTGGGACGCCCTCGTTGTGTTCACCAGGGTTTGATCCAGGGGCCTCAGGGTCATTAACATGTACTTTAGAGTTTGTCCTGAAGTACGGCCTTGTCTGTAGAATGGGAGACAGAAACTCAACCATGTGATGGCCCATCAAATCTTTTCTTGTGATCATCCCTCTGACCTGCGTAAGTTTGATGAAAGAATGCAGAAATGGTAACACCAAAGACAACAACAATGGTTTGCATCACACATTAGGATTTCACTTGTGACAGCACAATTCCTGTGACAGTGGTGCCTCCCCAAACACACCAAAAACAAAAAATTTTAAGTGTATAATAATATTTATTATTTTCCTACCACTGCATGCCTGGCAAACAGAAAATCTGGCTTAAGATAGCAGTAGTTAGACATGCACATCAGAACAGATCACTTTAGATAGAAGTAGTTAGACATGCACATCAGAAGAGATCACTTTAGATAGAAGTAGTTAGACATGCACTTCAAAATAGATCATTTAAGATAGCAGTTGGACATGCACATCAGAACATCACACTTAAGAGCCAAGCATTGAGACATGTGCATGCAATAAAGAGAACTCCAAAGGTTCCTCTTGAGACTTTTCCATTTAGATGTTTCTGGCTGGGAGTATAAAATAATGATGTCTGTCTACAACAACATCCTATAATACATTGATGTCTGTCTAGAACAACATCCTATAACACATTGATGTCTGTCTACAACAATGCCTTACAATACATTGGTGTCTGTCTACAATAATGCCCTACAATACATTGATGTCTGTCTACAATAACGTCCTATAATACATTGATGTCTGTCTACAATAATGCTCTACAATACATTGATGTCTGTCTACAACAACATCCTATAATACATTCATGTCTGTCTACAACAATGTCCTATAATACACTGATGTCTGTCTACAACAATGTCCTATAATACATTGGTGTCTGTCTATAACAATGTCCTACAATACATTGATGTTAGAATGTGAATGATTTAGTTCCATTATAAAAACTGCTGGGGTCATTACCTCATTGTTACCGTTGACAACAACAAGGTGACGTAGACCAAGTGCACTAATCAAAGTGTATGCTCTTTGCAATGAAAATTTAGTCTGTATCGAGAGAGCCGACTGGTTCACGTAAGGGGTCTGTAGAAGGAAAATCAAATCAATTTAAAGGGGGAAAAAGCATACAAGTTTCTAGTAAAACAAATCATGCAATGTTCAGCGCAGAAAAATATTTGGAATGGTTTCAATTAATAATAAATAGTAAATATCCGTTTTTATGATTTTACCAGAAAGATTTTTTTACAAAATGCTATAATGAACATTAAATTGGCAAATTAATTTAATTAAAAAAAATTAATCCAAAAAGAGCAGGTCATCATTTGATCGCCACTAGAGGCCGACCGAATTTTGGCTTCGGTTTCGGCGCCGAAAGTGGCCATTTTATCACTTTCGGCCAAGTTTCGGTCGAAACTGAAAAGTTAACTTTCGGCTTAATTTCAGTTTCGACCGAAAGAGAAAAGTTAACTTTCGGTTTTTCTTCGGTTTCGGACGAAATTGACTTAGACTTTCGGCCGGAAAGTGACTCAAGTTTTCGGTCATTTAATACTCAGCAAAAGCGATATTTAACAACAAAATAAGCGACATGTAAGAACAAATTAAGCGATCTTTGAGAACAAACTAAATGATATTTAACAACAAACTAATCAATCTTAAGGAACAAAATCAATTATCTTTAAGAACAAACTAAGCGATCTTTGTGAAAAACTAAGCGATCTTTAACAACAAACCAGGCGATCTTTATGAACAAACTAACCGATCTTTAAGAAAAAATAAAGCCATCATTAACAAAAACTGGACGATCTTAAACAACAAATTAAGCGATCAATAACAACCAACTAAACGATCTTAATAAATTAAGGGATATTTTAGAATCACAATTTTTAGAGACCCGGTTTAAAAAAATAATACTTTGCATTAATTTCCTCCCCCCCACCTCAATTTTTGCCAAATTTTCTCCTAACATACTAATTAAAAAAATTGTAACGCAATTTAAATTACTTTTATATTAAAATGGTAAAATCCAAAGTATTCATTAGATCAAGGGTCTCAAACTCAAATCACCAGGGGGAGGGGGGCCGCAGGAGGTAGTGTCTGAATGAGAGTGGGCCTCATCAAGTAATCCACAAAAAAGCGACTACAACTGTTACAGTCTGCTCAACCTTTATAAATAACAATAAACTCATTAAGGGTTCTCAAGAACTAGGATTCACTTTCATCCACCTACTCACTGTTGCATTAAAAAATATATAGAAACATTACCAAAAAAAAAAAAAAAAAAAAAAAAAANGCGGGCCGCAAAATATCGTCTTGCGGGTCACAAATGGCTCGCGGGCCGCGAGTTTGAGACCCCTATATTAGATGTTTATTTATTAATATTCACAATTATCTCATTTTTATAAAAATAATGTAAATATTTATACTTTCCCACATCATTTTCGATGTATGCAAAATGTATGCGGGAACGAATTTCAAAATATCTAAATATTTCATTTTCGGTTTCGGCTTCGGCCGAAATTCATTTTTAACTTTCGGCCTTTTTTCGGTTTCGGCCGAAAGTCATTTTTAAACTTTCGGCCTTTTTTCGGTTTCGGCCGAAAGTCATTTTAAACTTTCTGCCTGTTTTCGGCTTCGGCCGAAATCAGAAAATCACTTTCGGTCGGCCTCTAATCGCCACGTCGCTAGAAATAGTTTGTGACTTACCTCCCTTGCAGTGTAGCAACTTCTAAAATTATCAGACTTCCACCATGATCTATCAGTCATTGTTAACTATCAGTCAGCAAGATCTATCAGTCATCATGCTGTTGGGATATGGATCTCAACGTTACAGATCTCGCAAACCCCTCTGCAAACACATGAGCCAGAATGATCGATACATCGATTGTAGGCCCTCAAAACATAGAAGAAGAACAAAACATTGTATGAGATTCTTACCATGTCGACGTAATAATCTTTATAGTCTGAATTTTCAGCAACAAACTGTAGCAGAAATCGTGTGTTGATTTCCTCCTCATCTTTTTTACCTTTCAACATCTTTGAAAATATCAGATAAAGTACAAAGTTAATAGTAATAGCCTAGAAAATAAATCTTGTAACTGATAATTGGTTTAAAAGTGTTATGGAAACATAATATTCTGACTGGCTGTGATTATAAAATAAACAATGAAATATTAAAAATTTAAAACAAATAAAATCCATTAAATTACTAAAGAAATTGCTTCTCTCTTCAAGACAAAAAAAACAAAAACAAAATAGTTTTGTTTTAATTTTTAAAAAAAAAGGAATGCAAAATAGAATGGTCATAAAAGTTCAAAATAATTAGCTGAACAAATTTTACAACAAAAAGAAATTTAACAAATAAAGAAACATGCCTTATCGTATTCAATGGATGCAATGTCCACTGTTTCATCATTCATGGGTTCAACTGGACCTTGACACATGACAGACCGGTGATCCAGGAGCACTAACAGGTCAGATCTGGCAAACATGCACAGGAAAAATGTGTTGAACATGTTTTTTTTGTTCCTTCCGGGGAAAACAAATATTGAATTTATTTATCAAAAGATCTAAGCAATCAAACCTGATACAACCCTGAGAGAATTCAAACCATCTTTATTTCAGTGTTGTGTTTAATCATTCAAACCTTTTTTATTTTAGTGTTGTGTTTAATCATTCAAACATTTTTTATTTCAGTGTTGTGTTTAATCATTCAAACCTTTTTCATTTCAGTGTTGTGTTTAATCATTCAAACCATTTCTATTTCAGTGTTGTGTTTAATTATTCAAACCATTTTTATTTCAGTGTTGTGTTTAATTATTCAAACCATTTTTATTTCAGTGTTGTGTTTAATCATTCAAACCATTTTTATTTCAGTGTTGCGTTTAATCATTCAAACCATTTCTATTTCAGTGTTGTGTTTAATCATTCAAACCATTTCTATTTCAGTGTTGTGTTTAATTATTCAAACCATTTTTATTTCAGTGTTGTGTTTAATCATTCAAACCATTTTTATTTCAGTGTTGTGTTTAATCATTCAAACATTTTTTTATTTCAGTGTTGTGTTTAATCATTCAAACCTTTTTCATTTCAGTGTTGTGTTTAATCATTCAAACCATTTCTATTTCAGTGTTGTGTTTAATCATTCAAACCATTTCTATTTCAGTGTTGTGTTTAATTATTCAAACCATTTTTATTTCAGTGTTGTGTTTAATCATTCAAACCATTTTTATTTCAGTGTTGTGTTTAATCATTCAAACATTTTTTTATTTCAGTGTTGTGTTTAATCATTCAAACCTTTTTCATTTCAGTGTTGTGTTTAATCATTCAAACCATTTCTATTTCAGTGTTGTGTTTAATCATTCAAACCATTTCTATTTCAGTGTTGTGTTTAATTATTCAAACCATTTTTATTTCAGTGTTGTGTTTAATCATTCAAACCATTTTTATTTCAGTGTTGCGTTTAATCATTCAAACCATAATTTCTATTTCAGTGTTGTGTTTAATCATTCAAATCATTTTCAATTATCTTTTTGCAATGACACAACCAAATTCTTATTTCAGATTCAAAATTAAAAAAAACTATTACTTGACTATAATTAAACCATTTTTTAAAGACATTAATGATATTAACAGTTTTTTTTGGAAGTAATAAAAAAAATATTAGTATGAGGCATTCAATTATCTTCAGTTATTTCAACCCAGTTGCGTTACCTGGTCATTAAGCCGTAGAAAACTCTTTTGCCTTCTTTGTTCTTTCTCACAACAGGGAAGCCGTTGTGCTGATAGTCCAATAAGATTTGTGCTATTTTTGGAACATGTTCCACCAGATTCAGGGAGACAACTGGAAAAGCCATGATGTCTTCTGCAGCGAAAAGGTCAAGCTTCACACTGAAGGGTATAAAAAAAAAGATAAGTTAAGTGTTGTAATGGCAAAAAAAAATCTATCCACACACACCAATACAACAACTGCAAAAATATTAGATTAATATAAATTTCTGAATGATGTCCCTTCCATGTTAAAACTCTGCCTTAGTGTTTTTTAAACTGTTGATAGTACCATTTGTTATGTTAAGATTTATGATAAAGTGGTACACATTTGAGATAAAGTGGTACACAAAATTTGAGTTACTGAGGACATTTCTACTAGGACCATAAATTATAGGGTAGAAATGTTTACTTGTCACATCATTTCATGCCATGAAGTTAAGTCAAAGAAAATCCTCCTGCTTCCAGTCCTTGATTATAAAACAACATAACTAGGCCAGTATATGCACTGCTGCTATTTACATTTTCTTGGTAATACTATATGTTAGCAAAATGAGTGAGTTGGGATATACCAGTGACAATGCTATTTCAGTGTTTGTTGTTTCCAGGTTTTACTGTAATATATTCATTATTGCATTTAAAAATTAAGAAATAAATTTCCATGATTCAGAAGTTTACACATCAACTAAACTCATTTACTTTGTGCTATCAATTCTGACATGTGGATGCTGATTCAGAAATGGGATGCACTTCAGTTCCAGCAAGGCATGGAAGTACGGATGTGTGAAGAAATCTCCAACCCATTTGGACACCATGACAGCTGTCATCACAGGCAGCAGTACCTTTAGGTCATTGGTCAGTTCCATCTGGGATCAGAGATGCAACAAAGCTAAACCTCAATTATGAGAGGACTCAGCACTATCAAAGGAAAACTATTTACTCTAGGCATTATTTAGAAAAAGCATTAAGTAAATAAGTGTTTTTTTCTCTTCTTTTTCTGTTCAAGACATGACAAAACATTTCTTAGATGGATGTCCTTTATTCATTAAATAAAGAGATCATAAATAAAATTTAGCATTTTATAATAATCACTGGTCTCTGAGATTTAAACAATTTTTTAATTTTTTTTAAAAATATAAAAACCTCAGTTGGATAAGGGTAGAAAGAGGAGCAAAACAAGATTGGCACTGTGACCTGGCCAGCAAATTTTTGTACATTTAAATATTCAAAATTTCCAGGCATGAAATAGGTTTAAGAAAATTTTGTTAGTGAAGTCAAATAATCCAGTTATATCAGATAAAATTTTGTTGTGCTAAGTATCTCACCATTATGACAGTAATAGCTGGGGCAAGTCGAGCCACACCACCAAAGAAAGAGGCTGACCCAATCAGGGCAAAGGCCCCAGGATCCATCCAGCTTAAGTAATCATCATCTAAATGGACCCCGAAGATGTCCACCATGATTAGACCAACTATTCTGCCATACAAAGCACCAATCATCCTATAAGTAAACAAAGAACAGCACATCTGATAATGATAAAATTTCCTATGAAAAAGCTAATTAGATTACTATAACTCCACCACAGCAAGTGTTACAATTTAGATTGGATGTTTAGACGATAAGAGACAACTATGAGGGAAAGGTAGGGACTCAATCTTTGCACAGATCTTCATTGTGCATATTTTTAAAATTAATTTTATGGTCTCTAAAGTTTTAATACAAGTTAAGAATTAAAATAGGGTAAAATATTTGGGTAAAATATATGCTTATTTTTGTAGTATGATAAAAAAAATTGGGCCCACTCATACTTTAACATCTTTAATGTCACACATTAATTTATTTTAAAAGCTAGGTAACTCTATTCTGTGTAGGCTTTGGTGCAGAACGGTTTTGTTAGAACTTTCCAGAGAGTTATTGTATGACTGTTGTAAGGAGCTGTTGCACAAAGAAAAGTTACTTTTGTTAACATTTAGGAATTACAGAATAACTTTAACCAACTAACTGTATCATTTTTTGTTTTGATCTAATATAACTTTGTTTTTTGCACATTTTACAAGAATGTTCACCCAACCATTCTTTTGGCAACAATTAAAAGACTGGCCAAGATCCAACTTAGCTGTCTCAAATAATAGGAGAAGTAATTTTGAACATTATGTTAATTCACTATTAGTCAGTTTATCGTTTGGGGCTAGTCAAAATCAAAACAACAAAGCAGAGAAAATAAAACCTACAGCATGGGTACAAGGATACCAGCAGCCACGGATGTGCCAGCAGACCAGCAAACCATCACAAAATAGATGGCCAAACTGGCAAAGAGTGGTCCGTAGTTGAACATCTTGTGAGAGTTGCGCAGGTAGAGAGTTTTCATGGCTTCATCTTTGGAGCTGAAGATCAGAAGAGATACTACAAGAAAGAGAGATAGAGAGATAGAAAGTGGAATCAAGAAATCAGTTATTTTAAAATGAACCTTGCTAAAAAATTGTTTGTAATTTAACAATGAATTGTGCTAAACTTGCAGTGCATCAAGTTGCATTATTAGACTTTCCTGTTTAAAAAAAATGCATTAAGTGCAATGAGTCTAATGAAATGTGTTGAAAGGTTGATATATCTGATGAGTAAAATGAAATCAACTATTAAAAAAATAACTGATATTGAAATAAAAACACCTGTCCTATGTTGGCCTTAACACCTGTCCTATGTTAGCCTAAACACCTGTCCTATGTTAGCCTTAACACCTGTCCTATGTTAGCCTAAACATCTGTCCTATGTACCCTAAACACCTGTCCTATGTTAGCCTAAACACCAAATAGCGGCTATGTGTACCCGGGTCCTTTTAGACTAAATCCCATTCGGATGTCATTTGTTGTAGTTTATTTTAGTTAAACTGAAGAAGTAAGTTTAAAAACATATAGTCCATTCAATTATCTTTCATTTGATACCTCATTTTGTCTTACAAACCCAACAATTATATTTTAAATATTTTTTTAATCCCAACCTCTCACTTCTGATACCCGGGTGTGAATAGTCACAGCCATTATTTTATTAACATTCTTCACTTTTTTTGGTGATCAACAGATGATTTGAGTTTTAGCAGTTAAGAAGATGTAAGCCAACATCAAAGGGCGTGGGGGGAAGGTTTTGCATTTCATGTTTTCACATTTTAAGTTTCATTTCTGTTACTTATTCTAGTTAATTTGAAGACATAAGTTTACAAACATATAGTCTATTCAATTATATTTTATTAGATAGCCAACTTAGCCTTATAGACCAAAAAAAATAATATTTTAAATATGTTTTAATAAACCCAATCTCTCACTCTTTTTTGCTCTTTGAAAAAAATATAAATTATTTCGTTAAAAAAATTCCATGGTGAAAGAGTTCTCTAACTTATAATAAAATTTATTTCATTACATCAGTTTCAAACCCTCCAAAAATTGTTCTGTCAATGTTATTTCAGCTATTCAGTGACCCCCCCCCCCTCCCCAAAAAAAAACCAACAACCTTAACTGCCAAATTTAGTCAATGTATATAAAAGTGCACTTTTGAGTAAATTAAAAATTGACTATTAAGTTTACTTTAACATCTGTATAAGACTCGGACAAACCAAACACATTAAAAAAAATTTTTTTCTTCTACAGAACAGATGTATGACAAAATAAATATCAACCAATTTTCAACTTACATTCATTATAGGTTCCGTTGTACACAAATGTGGTTCCATCTAAATAATATGTCCCTACGTTGCAGGTGTGGAAAATGTTTTCTTCAACAAAGTGGGAGTCGTATTTATTCATTGTATCATTCACACAGTACTCACTAGACACAGACATTAGAAAAATAGAACATTCACTTGAGAAATTACAAAAGAAATTCTTTTTACTTTTTAAATAATCCAAACACATTAAAGCTTCTTATAAAATGATTAAATTCTCATTTGATTTTGTTCACTTTAATCAAATGGTGAACAAATTATCATTAAAAGTGTTTAAAGATATATATATATATATATATATATATATATATATATATATATATATATATATATATATATATAATATCTAAAAAATTTATGATGAACACATACGAGATATTTCCAGAGATATCTCTTTTTTTTTTTTTTATATCTCTACTTTCTCTCTAGAGAGTGTGAGAGTGTGTGTTTAATATATATATATATATATATATATATATATATAAATATATATATAAAATTTCCAATCAAGTTAAGCTGAACTCATACGAGGTATTACCAGAGAGTTCTATTTGCTTTTATTTTATAACTCAACGTTCTCAGTCGAGAGTCTGAGGGTCTGTGTTTCTTAAGGTCAGTGCCTCATCAACCTTTTCAACCTTTTGGGAGACAATTCATCTTGCTCAGTCTACACCAGTGTTTCCCAACCTTTTCTATACTCTGCACCCCCAAAAAAATTTTAGTCTGGTCTGGCACACCCCCTGACTTTGTTTTGCTAAGTCTTGCACTCCCATATTTCATCTAGAATCATCACAAGTGATGAAGTTTCATTTGCAGGTATGACAAAACAAAAGTCCAAAATATGACATTGCAGTTAAGGAGGTGCCACTTCAACCCCTTAAAAAAAAAACCCACCCAAACAGAATCAGCAACAGCCTTCAAAAATAAGAACCTTTGAACTATTTGGGAGCCATTTTGCATGAGATCGCAAACAATGTTAATAATTTATTCTGTAACATTTCTTAAACCTTGGTCTTCGAAACTTTCCGATATCACCTCATTTTCATTAAATTCACTTCTCTTATTGATGTCAAACTTTCATTATCTTCATTGAGGTTAACTCTACTTATAGTCAAAGTTTTAAAGCGGAATGTGTAAAAATCTCATACAAAACAAAAATGCTTACCTTAAAATGCCAGTTTCTCCTTTGATACAAGTGAAAGGTATACAGGAGAATGCCATTGGTAAGAACACAGAGAAAGAACTCATGATCAGCTGTTTAGAGAGAAAATGAAAAGGTCTTATAAGATTTTTTATCCTATTTGCTGTCCGGGACATTAGTGTGTATACAAGGATTTCTGTTATCATTAGTATACAAGGATTTCTGTTACCATTAGTATACAAGGATTTCTGTTATCATTAGTATACAAGGATTTCTGTTGTCATTAGTATGTTTTTAGAATTTAGTCACAATCTAGCTAAATATGGCAATTAAAGAAAATTAAGATATACTTCACCAAAAATGAAATAATAAAAGGAGTCAGGCCTATGATTAAACAATTATTTTGAATTGTCTTACCATGATGAGAGCAGGCTCCAGGAGACGGACAAGTCTCACAACCCACTGCCGACTAATTGAAGCCAAGATACGTTTACGGTACCGATGAATTTTGAGATTGAGAATAGTAAACAGGGATCCCAAAAGACCTCCAATAACACCAATGATAACGGATGGAATGAACATTAATATATTAATATCAACAGCTTCATCTACCTGCAATGAAAGGTAGAGAAAACATGTAGAAAAATTCATTCAAAATTTATTAATTATGTCAGTCAAATTACAGTTTAAACTTATTAGCTCTACAGAAATTATAGTTTAAAACTTAATAGCAATTCACAAAATATAGTTTGAACCTTAACAGAAGGGCATATGGGCCACATTGTCTATTTTAAGAATAAACATTATTAAAGAAGAAAAATGATTTATTTATTTTTTTTTTAAAGTTAAGATCGCAAAGTCTGATAAAATATTTCCCAAACTAAAATCATATACTTTTACTCTTGGTCACGAACCCAAAATCTAGCTAAAATATGATCAATTAAAGTCCTGGTTCAAAAGCTGATAGAGCTGTGAAATATGAAAAATTAGTGGTAAAACTTAGTGTTATGGTGTCCACTCTGTCAAAATGTGCAACACTCTCACTCCTAGACTTCAAATTCAAGCTACAAATATGGTAAACAAAATAAACCTTGCCAACTAATTATAGAGTATGAGAATTCATCACCAGTAATTGTTGCGCAACCAGATATTATTTTATTCTGTGCAGTGTGATTTAAGAGTTAAAACTTATTGAAAGCTTTGCCTGCCTTTAAGTGGGTGACCTATATTTATTGTAATTATGACTAGTGCCTAGACTGTCTTTGGCTTACTACATGTTTGGTTCAGCATTGATTAAAAAAAACCTTGTAGTGGATGGTTGTGCATTATTTCTCCTTCTTATAGGGATCTGCATTATACATATGTTTGATTAAACGTATAGCCTGATAGATATGTTTTCTGGATTGAAGTTACATTGCTAATGGAAAAGGATTTGCGTTCCATTCGGCATGACTACGACATATGAACATGTTAAAGAATTTGATGAAAGAAATGAATCAATTATGGATAGGGGACACTCATGTTCTTTTAAAGAGTTCATTTAGTTGTTGACAATAATTTAATGAATTAATCTATAAAATTCTAAAAAACTCTATCCCACTAATATATCAACTTACATTAAATGGAGTGTAATGACTATTCAATTAGCTTACATTAAATAGAATGTAACGACTTGTTCTAAATTCTCCAAACATTCCGATGATCTGAAATCTCTCAAAGGCGGAGTTAAAAATATCAGATGTGGATGTTGCTATGATGCAGCAGAAAAAGATCTGCCAGGCTAATGTTTTGGTCCAGAAGGAAGAAACTTCTTCCATACAGAACAGCAGCCCTCCCACTGGGGCACCAAAAGCAGCAGAGACTCCTGCTGCTACACCAGCTGTTATAAAGTTACGTCTGTAAAAAAATTAAAATAATAAAAACAACGACTGGTCAATGATGTGAATCTTGATTGAGTTTCATATAGTTGTTTACATGAACATTTTGATACATAAGAACATTGATAGCCAACAGGTGCACCACAAAGTCAGAGTTCCACATGCAAAATTGAAGCCTTAAAAATTTTGTTAACACTGCAGCTTTAGTCTCATAAATAAATTAACAACAGAAGCAAGACTTTTTCTGCGTGATGGGCAAATTAAATAATTTTTTTAGCACAATTTGATAGACTCTGGCTCTGTAAGCACTGCCCAATATTATTTAATGCCCCAATATATTAAATTTCTATTCCCTTGTCTTATTTAAAATCTGAATTTGCTTCGGGCGACACAGTCACATCAACAAATATCTCACTTGTCTTCTGGGTTTTTAAACCTTTCAAAAAATGGCAGATTGATTCGCTTTAAATATCCTGACAGCTGGCTTAATCCAGAACCAACGCTTGCACTTTGGAAAAAAATATAATAAACACTTAACATGCATGCTTTCCTTTGTAATATACTGTTTCACACAGCTCAGTAAAATATCTAAATAATCAAAGTTAATCAAAATATAATTTAAAATTTGTTAGTGTATAAAAATTGTAAAAAATTTTACAATGATAAATGGAAAAGGGAAGCAATTCATTTCAAATTATAATTCATTTCAAATTAATGTTAAAAAGACATTCTTGCTCAAAATTTCTGTGACTAAAACATTTCCTTACAAACTGAAACTGTCGTTAAAAAGCATAAGATATGTTAATTATCAGTAACAAATAAGTAAAATCAAAATAATTGTACAAAAACAGTTTTTTTTCAGCCTTACCCCATGTGGATCATTGGTCCTTCAGGACCTATAGGCATACCGCAGCCAATTGCTGCAACACAGGAGAGAAATTTGGCAATTAGGGTCCTGATGCTGAAAATTCTTCTTATCTGTGTTCCATTTAAATAGCCTGTAACCTCTGGCATTCCTGATCCTCCAGCACTAGGACGCCAAAACTGTTCAAAAAGAAGTTGACTCTTTTCAACATTTTAAACAGGGTTAATATTTCATGCAATTTATACACTGTTTTTACTAGCAGATATAAAATTATTAAGATTAATATCTACTTTTTAATGTTCTAATACGAGTACGTTTTCTGATTTTTAGACTGAAATAGAGAATGAGAAATAATAAGAAAAAATTGGCAGAAAAATGATAGATCTAATTTTATTTCCAGTTAAGGTATTAAAATAATTTTAAGCATGTTAGAGTCAAGATTGGTTTGTGCCAAACAGTGGCAAGTATTCCTTCAAATAATAACTAAGTGTTAATAGTTCCTTATATAAATAATTTTAAGCTAAGAAAATAATTTATCATACTTTTTGGGAGTTTTTAATTCACATTTTTAGTCTTTTCTGAAATGTCAGCCATTAATTTTGATACGAAAAGCAGACAAATTAGGCTATAGATAATTAATCGGTACCATTAGTGTCCGTTATTAGGTAAAATTCCTATAGCAATCACTGTTTTTGTTTATTACTATCAACAGAATAGGAAAAAGCTCATCAAATTCAAAATACAAAACTAACCACAACAACAGTTGCTGCAAACACTGCAAACAGCATACTGTATCCTGCACAAAACAACCATCCTTCCCAGATTCTTTCATCCTGTTTAAGGCAATGAAATGTTCACATTAATGAGAGGAATGTCATTTCAATTAACTTTTGATTATATATAAACATAGGCTTGAGTGTAATTAATTTATAAAGTTTTCTTTTAAAAAAGAAGCTCAATAAAGAAATGTGGTTTGTGAGGGATTCTAGTAAATAATGGTGACACTGAAAGATGGAATAAAGTAAAAATATAAGTTTCTATAAAATCAGAAAATAATAAAGAATAATTTGTAACGAAACAAATGGTACAGATAAATTTTAAATAAACGGTTGATATAAAGAGTTTGTTTAGCGACAAAAAAAAAACATGTGTCATTATGTAACTGAAAAGAATGGCAGCCACTTCAATTTAAATTCAAAGCAAAAACAAAAGTAATTTTATATATGTAAAATTACACAAGAATTGATTTATTATTTATTTCAGCTCTGGAATTTACTTTGAGCAAATCTTTAGTGATCCTCCACTTAAGATGATCAATTCTTTCAATAAGTTGATGGAGAAAAAATGAGACAACTCCAATGACAAATCCAATCAGGCCAATCATAACCCATCGATCTGTTTCAAGACTAAACCACAGTTTAAAAATTAATTTAACATAGTACTCAATCACTACATTGTAGAAAGCATTATCACAATAAGAAAATGATGCAATACATAATAAGGACCTTCTCAGAGGGCTTATTTATTTATTTATTTAGGCATTTTTATATAGCGCTTACCTTAAAGCTCTAACCACTTTACAATTATTAAAAACATGTAAACTAAGTAAAATAAAAATGAGACACTAGGATAGTAACTACTATACTATAGAAACAATTAAAATGGCTATAAAATGAGGACACTTTGGCACGTTTTGGCCTATACTACAGGATCAACCCGAGACAGAAAATGAGGCTTATCTAGAGAAGGGGTTACATAAAGTGAGACAACAATCTCCACTGTACAGGTGAGTGAATTATATACATCTACTTTTTTTTTAAAATTTAACTTATAAAACCCTTACCTATTAAAAATACTCCTAAATTTTATCTTAAGAACTTAGTAACAAAATGTCTCCTATTAAATTTTGTCAAATAAAATTGTAACATTTTTTCATAGTGTATGTTTTGTTTTGTATTTTGAAAGCATTATATTTTTAAAAATTAGCTCTTACAAGGAAACAAAATGCACAAAATTCAAATATTACTTACTCAGAGATATTCTGCCTCTTAATCCAGTGTTTAAATATATGGCTGTGATTTGGCAAGTAGTCACAGCTTTCATAAGTGTTGAGTGTATCTTTTTCTTGCTCTGTGTATTCATGTGTAACATAAACAGGCTCATAGTCACGTCCCTGAAATGTTTATGGTTGAAAGTTATCAAATTTGACTGAGTATTTATTAAATAAAGCCTGGAAATTGCTATTAATGATGCAAATAAAAATGTTCTTATTTTTATATAACATTTTGCCCACTTAGAAATTTAATAAACATAATCCTATTACGAATTGGGATATGAAAATCTTTTAAGAAGTCACAAATCATAACACATCAAAAGAACTATTTTTACAGCTGAAACTTAACAGTTTTTTTGCTGCAAGTGGCCTTATTTGTCAGTTTCCAATGAAATTTAAAAAACACATTCCATGAAAATATAAGAAAAAGTACAGAATTATAACTTACCTTAGCAAATACTGAGAAATTTTCATCATCTTTAACTGCAAAAACTGTGTCATCTTTTGGAGGTGCTGGCTTTGGTGCTCTAGATACTGAAGTCCTCACAGCACTTGTCGTATATGTTCTTCTCCTAACGCCTCCAAGGTCATCTCCATAGTTAGGAGCTCTGAAGAAGTCTTCGTCCTCAGGTAGCACAGAGGAGAAGGACATGATCAAGCTGGACTTTTCAGTAACTAGTTGATAGAATCCATTTCTCATAAATCATTTCCTGATGTATTCGTACATGTTAGTCTAATGAGCTGAAAATTTTAAAATAGAAAAAAATATTCCTGACACTTTATGGAATGAGAGATTAGAGTAATATAGTATTGAATTGAGAGGTTAGAATAGTGTAGTGTCTGCATTTAATCCCCAAGGATTTGAACGTACAAATTTTTGAAAAGTTGGAGTCCTTAGCACACTTATGTAGGAGAACTACTGTTGCAGACAATAACACCACAATAAGAATGAAAAAAATGGGTGAATGTTGAGCAAGGGATGAGAAATGTGTGCACGAAGTGAGCCGAAGACATCAAATGACATTATAGAATGGGTGATCAGTTTGACTAGAACCTTGGGTCAGACTTAATATAACATCATTTAACTTAATCTAATTTTTTCATGTGGGGAAGGGAAGGTAAAATCTGGTCAGTGACCTTAGCATTTTTAAGTAGAATAATTATAAAGATATATTAAAAATCTAACATTCTATCAAGTCTATTGTAATGTGTCACTTTTTGTAAACTGCATTTTATAAAAATTTTTATGTGGCTGGGTGACACCTATGGGGTTTTTCATTTCCATGTTCACAGTCACTGATCTGGACATACCTGTCCCACGGGGGCCTGGGAAAAACAGCTCATGACGTGGACATTATCGTGGCTATATCAGGGGGGTGGAATTTAAACCCGGGTGTGTACTTCCTGAGCTGTGTACGAGTAGTCAGCTGTGTCTGATACTGAGTGATTACAATTTAGATATTGTTTGAGAGATTTTACTGTCATCGGATTGTACCTAAGAATAAAGCAATAGTTCTCAGACCTGTTTCATTGTTTGTGATTTTTAAACTGTAATAAGCCACAACACCACACGGCTACAAATGATTTATAGGTTGGTAAAATGATAGCAGATTTTTTATGCATGATTCAAAAGTCTTAAAGTTGAATGATTGAAACCACGTGCCACTAAATAAAATATTGGGAATGCAACAAAGTTCTTCTTAACCAAAGCCTATTGTGCAGAATAGTGATACAAACATGATCTTTTTTTCTGAAGCCGAAACTTGTGGTGTTATATTTTGTCTGAACTAGCCCCACCTCATCTTCCTTAACTATTTCAAAATTGAAAATTAATTCATCATTTAATCATTTTTTATTACCATCAAAAGAAAACATAAAATTGCTCAGAATATCATTAAGTAGCATATTCAAATGATCACAAAGTAATTACAGATAATCATAATGAATTTCATCTTTCTCTTCTAGCTCGACAGGTTTGGAAATTAGTATGCCTCAAGACGGTTTTTGCATTCATATAGTTAATTTTGATACCAAAGTAAGGAAGATATATTTTGTTTTCTAGCTGTCTTGCAAATAACAACACGTGATCACAATTATCATCAGTTATAAAACTTTACACAAGTCAGAAAGAAAGTTTCAATGTCTAGAAAGTTAACTCATCCAGTTGCAATACAAATGCTGTAACTATTGAATTTAGTATGCTAAACAACTTTTCATTTATATACTCTGCCTTATGTCCATGAATTATCCTGTCTATATTATAGACAGGATAATTGGTAAGAAGTTATGAAATTGAGGCTAAATTACATATTGTCTGACATTTTGCCCTGCTTTCTCAACATGATCACTTTTACTAGAATTCTGGCAAAATTTTCATTTAAGCACTGGGGGTGATAATATTTCCAAATATTTATAATAAAACTTGTGAGTCAAGGCATTGTTAGTTATTAAATTACTTACACCCTGACTCTACTTTATGATTTGGAAAATGTTAAACACAAAGTTAAAGTGTGACAAAGAATAAATGATCATATAGTGACTCATACACAACTGTTAATACTGTTAATAGTGACTCATACACAACTGTTAATACTGTTAACTTAAAATATTCATTATAAAAAATAATATATAAAAATTAAGAAGGCTTTTAAGCCTAAGATAAATCACACCCAATGAGATTGCAATGTAAGTTGTAAGTGATCAGTTGCTGACAGAGGGATTATTTTAAAATATCTTCCTAATACTAATAGAAATAGTATAATGTATTATAAATATTGCATTAATTTATGCTAATAATTACAACCATGTTAATTTTAAAACTTTTGATTTTAAAGAAATATACTATAGTTATAGTGTTAGTGTTAAAAATAAAATAGTAAAAGTATCAGTATAGGCTTACTACATTAAAATATTCAAAATAATTATTTACGGCTTACTATTACTAACTATAAGCTGTGCTGTTCCATCATTATATGATTATCATTGAACTGATAACACAATGATAACTTTTTTTTAGGCTAAGTCCTGACCCACTTTATTATAAATTATAGTTCATATTTCATAGCACTGAATCAACTGTATGACTGGTCACTGATAAGGAATTAATAACGATAATTCGGAAGTTAATTCCAATCTATTCTTATTTACATTCAATTATCAAATAGTATCTAAATTAATAGATATATTTCATATTTTAATTTCAACTTACATGAACTACACTTGTTTTTTATAACTGTTTTGTGTATATTAATTTGATACATAGTATAATCCCGCCCACAAATATGGGAGATCACTCTGACAAACTTTTAAAATTCTGAATGGGATGACTAAATACCGTATTATTCTGTGTGCACCATTTACTTATGTAAAAGGCTTTTGAAAATTAACAACTAAGATACAAACATCTTCATATTTTTTCATCAAACTTTCAAAATATTAGTTTTAATTGAGTCTATAATGTAAAAAAACAACAACCTGGTATTATAAAATAATATTTTGATTATAAAGATACAATATGATGCAGAAATATATTTTAACTAACAGAGTTTTAAGGTGAAATATAGCACTTAAACTTACAAAAATACAGTATCTCTATTTTACTTTGAAATAATCACTGATATTGGTAATACGTTAACCCAGAAACAATAATTTAATTTCAACATTATTGTGCTTAATTTACTTTTTTCTTCTTATGATTTAATTTCAACTTTCAAAGGATCATTATTCCTTTAATTTTATCTACGAATAATCATGCCACAGTCGAGAAGGATCCACCCCAATTGCCAAAAACTGAAAGAAGTGAACCAATTATTATTATTATTAAGTTTAAGCCAGCCCAGTGCCCAGTGTTACTCAGTGTAAGTGTAAGAGTAAGGTCAGGAAATAGCGGAACTAAAACAAGATACTGGTATAACTGCACTGGTGGTATGTCATGTGTAATTATTTTAATTCAAGTTTAGTTTAGACTTAGTACTAAGTAAGCAGGCTTGTATTTAATTTATTTACTGTTTTAATTTTAAATAAGTATAAGCCATGATATGTATAAGCTACTCTACAGTTTAGCCAGGACTTGGGAATGATTAATAAATTAATACCCTTGTTGAATCAATCAGACTGATATGAATCAAGGGTAAAAAATTTTTGTTAAAAAAAACCCGAAAACATTGATGAATGAATTGCATCGATTTTCAGATTATGATTAGGGCTAATGTAATTTTAATTAAGGAATCCAGGCCAGTCACATGATGAGTTTCTGTATATGAGTATGAATTAAACCCCCTCCCCCCCCCCCCCCCCCCCATTAGACATGAATTGTCCCTATTTCCTAGAGTTAACTTTTCTATTCTTGATATTAATATGCTGATAGAACGTTTTGAATAATGACATTAATTTAAACACTTGGACACAGCCAAGGCCTGGGTACCAGATGATTTAAGTGGTCGGCTCATTAAACTATGCTCAGAGCAGCTCTCCTACATATTTTGTTACATATTTAATAAATCTTATGTAACTCACACAATACCAGCAATTTGGAAAACTTCAGAAATCATACCAATTCCAAAGAAATAAGGTAAAATACAACTAATGACTTACGACCTGTTGCACTTACCTCTATTGTAATGAAATGTTTTGAGAAAATTATTCTGAAAGAAATTTTGAATGAAGTACAGCAAAAACGTGACCACCACCAATTTGCTTACAAATCTGCTAGAAGTACGGAGTATGGAATCTTACTATTTTTGGAGAGACTTTACCATCACCTAGACAGTCCTAAAACATATGCCTGAGTGCTTTTCTTAGACTTCTCATCAGCATTTAACACTATCCAACCACATCTTGTGATAAAGAAACTTCCCTCGTTAGGTGTCAATTTAAATATTCAGGCTTGGATACTGAAATTTTTAAAAAATCAACCACAACATGTCAAAGTAAATAACCAAATATCTCTAACCAGAGAAATAAGCACCTGGGCACCACAAGGCCCTGTTCTCTCCCCTGTACTGTATACAATATATACCAATGATATTAAAAGCTCAAGCAACACCGTTCCAATCTTAAAGTTTGCTGATATCCACAAGATATTACAACAATTGAGTTCCACAGGGTTTTCAAAGAATAGTTACAATCACATGCACAATAATGGGAAAGTATTGAAACGTGCTCTCTAAAGAAAAAGTCCCAATAGCACTTGCTTCTAACTAATATTTACAACTACCTTACTCTTAAATTTTAATAAACGGTCCCATCCATTATTGACAGTAATGTGATTTTTGTGTGGAATTTACCTACCTTGATAATCTTTTTCTTATTGTATGGCATTAAAGAAAATCAACTTACAATCTAATTAGAAGGCTAACTATTTTTTACTGCATGTATTTTAACAAGACATTGGCACAAATAACTGTTTCCTTTACACAAAATAAATAAATTAGAAATAATTAGAAATAAATAAGAAACTTTCAGAACCATCGATTTTGAGTTTAATAACTAATTTTTTTTCTCTCCAGATTTTATTAGCTTTTGGAAACACTTAAGGACGTTGCGAAAAGATGATTCACTGACAATGTTGCTATTTCCTTCTCCAATATGTGTTCTATTAACTTTAATTCAATTATTTTTTGTAATTGCTGCATCACAACTCGACGCAAGCAACAATTCACTGCCATTTGATCTTGAGACCAGTCTTGTGTTTCCATACACTGTCATCCAAGATGAAACATCCAAACTATCTTTTAACTTTTCTTTCCTTCACAATAGAACATCCAATAAGAATGAAGCTGCTTCTGATTCCAAAATAGTTTCTGAATTTCCGCAACGTGATGGCTATGAATGGTCAATATTTGCCAAGCTTGATGGTTCTCAGATTGCAGAGCTGAAGGGTAAATCAGAGTTTTTCGCACATGAGCCAACTGGAACTATAAATATTTTAATAAAAGGTAATCTGCCTGGGAGAGCTACCCTCTATTTCTGTGCAGCAACTAATGGCAATAATGTATCTCAATCATCCATCAAATCGTGTGACTCCCGAGATCTTACCTACAAGTTGTATGTGGAGCGCAAAGAGAGACCAATTGACATTGCTTTCAATGTGGTGGTTATATTATTAGTTGTGATGACAAACATTGGAATGGGTGCCAAGGTAAGATAAACTTACTTGGAGTTACAACAAAAAAAGTCTTAAAATAAAGTATATGATAAATATTGAGAAATTTATTTTTTTTAACATTTAAATTTAAAGAATAAGTAAGACTCTGTCTTGCTTACAGTATTATAAGACACTTTATTTTAATCTTGTCTGATAATTAGATGATATATTTTATTTACTTTAATACATTTAAACATATTTTATTAACCTGTAAACAAGGGGCCGGCAGCCTATGGCACACATCCCACACTGGTAACATAGAGCAATTGCAAAGAAGATTCACGGAAGACCAAAACAAAAATAATTGACTAAAAATGCATCTAATCCGGTAGACTTAAATTGGTTCCTACATTGGTGCATTTAACCAAAAGGTTGTCTGCCTCTGGTGAAAAATGGTGATTTTTAATTTTAAAATATTATTTCTTTTTTATTCCTTCATTAATTTTAATAGATTGATTTTGATGTGGTCAAAGCAGAACTGAAGCGCCCTATAGCCCCAGCAATAGGTTTATGCTGTCAGTTTTTGATTATGCCTATGGTAAGGACTTTCAGAAGTTTATAGCATAAATATTTCAGAAAAATAACTTTATGGGTAATAATAATAATTGAACAGGATCTTGGCAGAATACTGACAGATGCTTAATACAATGGAAATAAAAAATGAGTTAAATTATGGCTATAATGAATTATTTTTTTCTTCAGATTGCCTTTGGCATAGCCAGCAGTATAAAACTAGACCCTGGCATTGCTTTGGGTTTCTTTGCTCTGGGATGTGCACCAGGGGGCTCTGCTAGTAATGCTTATACTCATCTACTTGGTGGCAACGTCAGTCTTAGTGTTACCATGACCCTCATCAGTACTATAGCAGCATTAGGTAAGAAGGCAGGCTTTGGTGTAAAGACTACCATTGTCTTTTTACTTTAACCAGCATCCATAATGAATTGCGACAGAAAATGATGGATGTACCGTACTTAAGATGATTCACATTTTTTAAGCATTTGAGATTTTAAAACACAACCTGCTCAGGTGTTATATAATTTGGTATAACAAGAATGTCAGTCATAAATAATGTTTTATTATATTTAATTTAATTATAAGCAAGTATGCCTGATAGGTTTTCAATCACAAAAGAATGTCTTGTAGCTTATAAATAGAAAACAGGCTCTTTAAGACGATTGGTCGTTTCAAATTAATGAATGCATTCATTGATTACTTGAGTAAATTTTGGGTGGTGCATATCACTGCGGCTGATATGTTCTAGATTTAATTATGATAATCTGAAGGGTAAGGTGGCAGAATCTGGGGGGGATGGTGTGGTAGAGGGGTGGGGGGGGGGTGACAACTGCAACAGTAAAAATGCAAGGTATTTACATTTTTTTTAAAAGGAAGAAATCGTGTTCTATATATATTCATGCGTATCTTTTTTAAAAATGATTGGTATCCGGTACTCATTCTGACTTGCTATACATTTATGATAATTATTAAAATATTTGTGCCATATTTTAAGTATCCTTGAATTAGTTCAGTTCACAATTATGTTAGACTAGCCCTTCTTTACTTTTTAACTTTTTTTTTCAGGGCTTCTACCAATGTGGCTATTCACACTTGGCAAAGTGGTCTACAATCAAGGAAATGTCCAAATTCCATATGAGAACATCTTCTTCTCTCTTCTCGGCATCATCGTCCCAGTCCTCATCGGCCTGTTTCTACAAAGGAAATTTCCCAAAGTGGCTAAGATGTGGCTGAGTGCTGTGAAATACATTGTGTTTGTGTTCATTGTTTTTGTCCTAACTGTTGGCGTGTACGCAAATGTTTACATATTTTCTCTCCTCAGCGGAGAAGTTCTTTTGGCTGCGGCGCTGCTGCCCTATCTCGGCTTTCTCCTAGGCGGCATTGTGGCTTGCATCTTTCGCCAAGGGAACGTCAACATCATCACCATAGCAGTTGAGACGGGAATACAAAACACCGGGATACCGATCGTGCTGCTGCGCCTGTCCTTGTTGGGGCCAGATAAAGACACCAGCATCGTGGCTCCGGTGGCCTCGGCATTGTTCACACCCATCCCTCTCGTCATTGGGATCCTCTACGTTCAGACAAGGATGTTTCTAGAGAAGCGAAGGAAAAAGCTCAATCAGGAAGGCTCCCTTATCCACCAGAACAATGACAACCTAGAAATACTGAAAGCGTCAGGTGATTATCAGATGGTTAAAACTGACACCTCCGAGGTTTGAGAACTGTTGATGTGTAATATTGAGAGAATCCTTATAATGTTGTTTTTATTTCTCTTTATTTTTTCATGTAAATTTTGCAACAAAAAAATATTTATTTAACATGATCATGAGTGAATATTTATGTTTTAGGACAGTGATTTCTAAACTTACCAATGCCATGTCCAGAGATAACTTTGAGATGACAATTCTAGAGATAACCCTCAGATGACAGTACAGTTAGCTGTCAAGTTTGTCTCTAAGTTTTAACTGTTTCTGGTATTTTTAAACATCTGCAATATTTGGAAAACAAGTATTTTGTTTTTTAATTATTATTTTTTCTTGTTATTTGTGAAGTATTATGATTACAGAGATACAGATTCAGCCTTCGATTTTCTTATATTAAATGAACTCTTTTCATATTTGATAATTACAAAAATTCACAAAAATTTAGGAAACACTGTTCTAAAAAAATATCTAAGTTGTTTTTTTTTAATTGTTTTTTTAAACAAAATATAAAATAACCAAAAACACAAAAAATAAAAATCAAATCCAAAGTAGCAGCGGTTTTGACATTAACTATTTTCAAAATCATCGTTATAATTTTTTAAAATTAACCTTTCTTTGTTTAGTTCAAGGAGTAGGTGAAATTCTTCATAAAATTATAGAAATCAGATGTTATGATGATAATTTGGGAATCTGATGCTATGAATACCAAGCTCAAACTGACAAAAGCCAAGTGTTATGAATCAAAATAAATTATTATTATTACATGTATTGACACATTAATTTTTTTTAAAATATCATAACTTCTGAACTGCCTACAACTATAATTCAAGGAATGTAATCTATTGATTTAATGAATGTTAACTGAGAATAATCCCAGCACACATAACTTTTTAAAAAGACACTTATGGTGTATGTGTATTTTTTAATAATCAATCTTACATTACGTACAATATGGAAAACTTCATCAAAGCGAGGATAAAGGATAAAATGAGAGAGATTGTGTTTAAACATGTCTTGTATATCTAATGGCAGTGTACCGTCTTTAATATTTTAATCAAGAAGTGAGAAAAATAATCATTTGTAAAATGAAACAGAAATTAGTGGACAGAATCAATATTTGTGTTGCAAATATTATAGTGTTTTGAGCTTTTTCTTCTTTATATGTTGGAGTACATTTATTTTCCCCATTAAAGATCAGATTTCAAAATAACCACAACCGAAATGCGTAACAAATGAAATTGATTTTTCATAAACTACAAATTGAACAAATTTAAAAGACATCATCATGGAATTGCTTCTTTTATTTGCAATAAAATGGGATTTTGCTGCAACATTTTTGGATGTATAAATTTGTAAGTAATTAATTTTTAAGTCACCAACAAAGTAAATGTTATTATTTGTTGGCACACCATGTTCCCAGTTGAGATAGTCAATTTTCAATTGTGCTGATTACATAGTCAATTTTGCAATATGCTGATTACTATAATGAGGTTGTACTTTTTTTCTCACCCTAGAGTGACAGAATTATATTCATTATATTCAATGGTGCTATTATCAATATAAAAAAAACCCACCCTATTAAGCAGTTCATTATTATAATAATAATAATATAAATGTATATAAGCATTATTTTGTGATACTTATTGTGATAGCCAATGAAAATGGTCTTTGCTCCCTAATGATTGCTTGTGGGGGCCAATGAAAATGGTCTTTGCTCCCTAAGGATGGCTTGTGGGATTCGGTCGGGTTATCAGCTTTTTATGGGAGCTACACTAGAGATTTCCACATTTTATCAGCTTTTTAAATTTGAATGTTTTGTAGTTAAAACAAACAAATGGAGAAGATGTTATCATGTTGTTGCTTCTTGTTTTCTAAACCGAGGCAATACGGACAAGATCAAGAATAGAGATTTTAAAATTTTTTAAAACTATATTTTTACCATCCCACCTTTGCTTAAATCCTTCCAAAAATGAAAAGCTTTTTCCCAGTGGGATCTGGTAAGATGTTAGATTGGTCAGACCTAGAGATCAGTTTGGGCTCTATCTTCTGGTCTTTATAATGAATGTTATATGACACTGTACCCCTCGGGAGATGCTCGTGCCCACCATGGTCAGCGGCTGCAGTTATACCAACAACCTGTATTTTAATGTGTATGTTTAACAGCTTATATATGTTTATATACTCAGGCTTGTATTTTATAAACACTTTGAGGTGCTCCTTTCTCTCAGGTGACTTCTTACAGGTGAGGACAGTTAATATACCAGGACACAAAATGCTTATTTTCCCACCTGGCAATGTACATTATAAAGATAACTGCCTGGCAATGTGTGATAATATAAAGATGACTGAATAGAGTTTACTTTTAAAAGATCATATCATTAAGCTGGTAGGTAGAGATATACTCTGTGAACAGAAAGAAGCCATTTTTCTCCTTGTTTTTACAACCCACACCTTTTTAAATACAGGGTTATATTTTAATACAGTTGTTGGATTTGACAATCTGTTTGAGAAAGCCAAAATTTGCACCCATATACATGTCTTTACAAATAATGGTCACATATATATATATTTATATACATAATTTATAAATGTAAAAATAGTTTTAGAAAATCAAGTTGGTCCCATTTTGGGATCTTGCAAGGTTATGTCACCTGTCAACTATACTATATTATAATTATGTGATGCCATTAAAAATTGCTTTTTCCTAATACAAAACAATTCAGCTTACTTTATCCAACATCTATCTAAAGTTTTAAAACTTAATTTGTTTATGTGACTCCACTGTTCTGTGCTCATCCTTAAAAATGCAAAATGGCTACGTTTTTGGAGGTGACTATAACATGTGACCCAAGTCATAACTCGGCTGTCATGAGTGACTCAAGTCATAACTCAGCTGTCATGAGTGACTCAAGTCATAACTCAGCTGTCATGAGTGACTCAAGTCATAACTCAGCTGTCATGAGTGACTCAAGTCATAACTCAGCTGTCATGAGTGACTCAAGTCATAACTCAGCTGTCATGAGCTTTTGCTCGAGAAATTACAATAAAATTATTTTATTAATGTTAAATTGACCTGGATGAATAAAATGTTAGCATTGTCTTACTAGCCAATGATATTTTCAAATGACATCATTTGGTCTTACCAGCCTATGGTAATTTCAAATAACATCATTAGGTCCAACCAGCCAATGGTATTTTCAACAAAATGATTTGAAGAAAAAAGTCAAAAGTCATAATTGTGATTTTACTTTCTGTCGCTGACAATAATTAAATGCTACAAGTTTTTTTTTTCATAAAATTTTCAAAGAAATTAATTTTTCAATAAAAAATTATACATGTGGTGCATCTGTTAGTGTTAGTTGTAATCCATCATTGTGGCACAACCTTTGGCCTGGCTCACCCTGTCCTTCCACTCATGGGGTGTATCTGTTAGTGTTAATTGTAATTGTAAGGATAATTGAAACTTAACTTAAGTTAGAAGAGTTAAAAGTAAGGATAATTTTGAAACTTATTAAGAGTTTAAGAATAATTTTGAAACTTATTGAGTTAGAAGAGTTAAAAATTAAAACAGACTCAATAAAAAGCCAAACTGCTCACTATTATGAAATCTGTGTATTTTTTAAATAAAGTTTTTAGATCAGGAGAGTATAAATTTATTTTGTCATTCCAACCTCCCCCCACCTCCCCCCCCCCTTATTTCTGCATAATAAGAGTTACAAGACCTTGCACACTTTTGTTTTCATTAATTAAAAAAATTTTGTTCGCAGTCTAATTATGTTTTTAGTTAATTCGGCGTATTTAACATTAATTAAATTGCTGTATACTTAGTTGAGATCTATAATCAATTGTAATCATTGTTATGAAGTTTTGCTGAAGGATTACGTGATTATTGTGCTGTTTTGTAACCAAAGATTTTAAAGTGTAGTGATGAGATTGTAATAAACAATATGTTTCTATAGATCAGGGTTGGGCGAACTACGGCCCGCGGGCGGCCCGGCAACTGATATTATGTGGCCCTCAAAGGCATTTAGAATTAAAATCATTACTTTGTTTTTAAGTTATTTTGTTACTTTCTTTCTTATTTTCTATTTTTTTAAACAGTCCTTGACTTTTGGCATGTAATGCAAAAATGCGAATTTACTGATTTTAATATAGAGAAATGTTTATCGACGTGTAAAAATTGGACATAATATGCATGGGGCCCCCCAAAAGCTTTACATATTTTGTCAATGTGGCCCTCCGCACAAAAAGTTTGCCCACCCCTACTAGAGAAGCATATTAAATGTGTATGTTAAAACATGCATAAACCTATGATTTGTGTTTGCATAGATTTTATGCTTAATCAGAAGAAAATTATTAGTCATATTTTTATTAGTTTATTGCGCCAAACATTTAGAAATGGTAGATATTTTAATATTTGCAAACTTGAAATTCTCCGTTGTGGACAAAAAGTTTGCCCACCCTTACTATAGAGCATATTAAATGCTTGTGGACAAAAAGTTTGCCCACCCTTACTATAGAGCATATTAAATGCTTGTGGACAAAAAGTTTGCCCACCCTTACTATAGAGCATATTAAATGCTTGTGGACAAAAAGTTTGCCCACCCTTACTATAGAGCATATTAAATGCTTGTGGACAAAAAGTTTGCCCACCCTTACTATAGAGCATATTAAATGCTTGTGGACAATCCAAAATAAACTTTCTGAGGTTAATTTCTACAACTCTCGTAGATATTTGGACAAAATGTCATGATGGCATTCTTGTCTTTAAAATAATGATTTCTTTAATCAGAGTTTTCTATTTTAGCTACTTTTACTTTGTACGTTTGTTCCATTTTTACGTTTGTTCTATTTTTACATTTGTTTTATTTTTACATTTGTTCTATTTTTACGTCGCAATGGCAAGATTCTTTTTGTTGTTTTGTCATCGTACTCTCTGTAAATCTTATGATTACTTTTAATGTATTGGTTTAATGGGTGCAAAGATTTTTTATTTTATGGTGAATTGACTGGTTATGGTGGGCTATAATTAGTACACAGATTTTATTTTTGGAAGGTTGGTGCCAGTGGTCTGTAACAAGGTTTTGGTTAGTGTCGGTAGTCAGTCGATATGGAGATATAGTAAAAACATTACTGTAACAGTTTGTATATTTTGTAACCTTCTTATGGACGGTGGCGCTTGTGATTCAATAAGGTTACTCATACAATGTTAGCTAATACTGTGAGCTCAATGTAAGCAGTGACTTGATGCTCCTAATTGAGTGATTCATTCCACTCCTCAAAAACTGTCTCTGTCTCTCTCTCAAGAATTGACATTGTCCAAACGAATAATATACACTGCACTTTATTAGATAAACTAAATAAGTTAAATAATTCCTTGATATCAGGATATCGTTGTAACAATCATAGTAGCAATGCAGAGAGTATGTATACACACACGTTCAGTAATGCACCAACT